TGGGCCACGTCGGGAATTATTTTTTATCTTTTCTTTTTCAATTTTTTTTTTTTTCATTTAATTTTTTTTTTAATATTATTTTTTTTATATATATATATATAGATTTTTTTTTCATTTTAAAAAGATTTTTTTTCTTTTAAATTTTAAAAAGATTTTTTTTTTTAAATTTTTTAAAAAGATTTTTTTTTTTAAATTTTTTAGAAAGAGTTTTTTTTTTAAATTTTAAAAGATTATTTTTTTTTTATTTTGTAAAAAAAAAAAAAATGTTTCTTTTTTTTTTTTTGTACTTATATTTTTATTATTTTAAATGAAATGCCAAAAAACCCCCAAAAAACGCTATTGCGACCATGGGCCACCATACACCTGTTATTGTTATTGTTATTGTGCAATACTATCTAAAGGTTAGTCTTATTACTCATTTTATATACAATACATACATAATTCACATTAAAGGTGCAGTCCCTGATTTCACAAGGTACCTTCGATAAAAATGTGTTTAAACATACAAGTTAAATGACAAAATGTAAAAATAATAACCCAAACAGATTATCTAAAAGTATTCAGACATTCGGAATTGATCGTTAGATATGCTTAAATCATTTAAAAATTCTGTTGTTCATTTGTAGGAGTGAATTGATAATCGTGACCATCAGTTACTGCTTTAACCAACGCAGACATGGGTATTCACACACATGGGTAAAGACCGATAGAGTGAGAATTTGAGAACTCACATATAGAAGCTTGTATTTCTTCTATAAAAAATTCCTACAGCCTTTAGACTGCAGGAACATGAGGAAAAACATTTCCAATGGTCTTCCATCAAGAATTAACATGTTTGAGTCACTAAAATATATCTGGGACAGCTCCTTTAAACTATACAAACATTAATAACAAAACACAACACTGGGTAAATATGGATATAACTACTATAGCCCGAAAATACTGAGCCATGCTATTGTGGCATGGTCGGAGTAGTTCCAAGATGGTGGTGTCTATGAAACTAAAGTGTAGAATATGTAGAAATTAGAATCTATTTTTGTTAAGTATCTGATTTTAAGAAAGCTTGAATGAATTTTAAATGGTTGCCACTTCTATGAGCAGATATTTTTTTGTCTCGTATGTTATGTCTGAATCTATGTAAGTCTAAAAATTACGCATTATTTCAATAAGTAACGTCAAGTTACAAGGAATTTTGCCATCTCTAAAATTAATTTGCGTCGCGCAAATTTAACTTCATGAAAGTATTATTTGTTTATTAAACTATGTAACACAGCGATTCATTATCCTCCATGGAGAGATGTATAGACCTTCCTTTGGGGTTAAGTTTTTTTTTCAGGTTTTTTTCAGGGTTATGCTCAAGGTTTAAAGCAGAGTATAATGACATCACCATGTCCCTGGGGGCAGCCGTCTTTGAACAGACGATGGTCCGGACCATTCGCGTTCGGTTTCTAGTTCCGACCACTAGTCGTGAAAAAATTATAACCGAAGGTCGCCCAAGTTGTCGCTACGTCGGCAACAAATCGTGCATGTGCTCACTTCAGCACCTGTTGCATGTATAAGTGGCTCGGGTAATCTAATTTAGAACTAGCTAAGTGAAATTAAGTTTGCAATTCTGACACTTAATAAATGTGTGTCGAATACATATGGTAGGCCCAGTGGACTGTTCCGTCTATATTACAATATACTCATTAATAATATAGTCCTAGGATTCATAAATGGTAATTAGAATGGGCATTTTTTTTCCAGTACCTAGAAAACGAAGGGTGACAGTTCATCGCTCTCCTTGGATTATTGGTTGTCTCATCTTGGTTGTTTGTTATGTAATGAGAGGATTAACTATATTTAGGATACTCTGGAATATTTCTGGACTCATCCTCACCTAGCCTGTTTTCTATACATACAAGAGCTCGTAACTGAGAATACTATAAACGCACTGCACTCGACCGGTGTTGTACTAAGACAGTTACGTCGCCACCTTATCATCATGTTCAAAACAATATTAATTGCAGTATTAAACGCAATGACGACTAAACTGCATTTAGAGGTGTCACATATGACAAGTTTTTTTTTCGTGATCGCCAAAGTCGTCGTGTAGTGTGCTCACTCCACTTACATTGCGGCAATAATTGTCACCAAACTCGTCGATTAAGTTGTCGCCTACTGTGCGCCAGGCTTTAATGATAAATATCCATCTATACAGTCTATTTATACATATTTTGGTTTTCACTAAATTAATTAATAACCAGAAGGAACCATTAAAATAATTAAAAGCAACCACAATGTCAGTAAATATTACAAATAACTATAGATAATTGACCCTTAATTAGTAGAATAATAAAATATAATCAGTACTAAAGATCAAAGACCGATATTAATAGGGCTTCACAATATCACACCTTAATCAGACCAACACTAATAAGATTTAACAATATCACAACTTGATAACAGTTGGCACAGTAATAACAATGTTACAAATTAATAGAGACAACCCCTGAAAACCAACATTCCACATTAATAGGGTTATACCAAATAAAGTTATAAGAATTTTGATCTTTTTTTTTCCTCAAAGATAAAAACAACTGTTTGAGCCCTTACCGTGAAAATTTTCCAAAGAGTGAACTTTATAACGTGCAGTAGGTATATAAAATCCCTAGTAGATATCTAACCAAAACATCCACAGTTAACAGCAGTGGGAATATTCAACAATTCAGTCCATGACTCTAATTTATATACTGACAACAAATGATGCAGGAACATATCTATTAAAGTGTATTGATGTATCTATATTTATATATCATATAGATAGTCATATTAATATTATTAATAGTATCAAAAAATTAAACCTGAATAATCAACATGTGATGGAAAATCAGAAATAATACCAGATGAAGATCTAGTGTTCATTATTCATTATATTTCACAATTTAAAGCGATAATCCAGATTTCTATTCTGGTAAAAAGACCAATTAAAATCAAATGTAACTTGACATTAGTTTAGTTACCAGTTGTTACAATAGCGAACAGGGAACTAGTATAGGTGGTTTATTCCCATGAAGGCGCAGTTATTGACCATAACGGATTAAAGGAGGTCGTTTTCAATGTCTTCGTGGGAATCCAGCTTTTAGGGCTTAAAATGGATTAAAAATGTAACAATGGAGTTATAGATTGTTATAAGAATTTACACTTTCATAATCCCTAATATGACTAATTAACTAACATTTTAACATGTTTGGCATAGGATTTTAAGAAATAAAAACAAATTAATTTAATTTTGTTAAATAAGACACAGGGTCTAAATACTTGACTAAAGTTAATTCCTCTTCTTCGTGTCTTCACTTTAATTCCTGGAGCTGGCTTTGGATTTGGGCATTTATGTCTCTTCCAGGAGCGGATGTAGGAATTTTGAAAGGGGGGGGCACCGCAAAATGAGGGCACTGACTGCAGAGACGGGGCACGCCGCTGTAGCCATTCCAAGAGCTATTTGGCGGATATTTTCGTCTAAGTAAACGTTCTGAGATCGTTGAAAAAGGGCCTTAAAATCGAGCAAAAAAGCCAGTTGACGTGCGACTTGAAAATTGTCTTCACATTCTGTAACGGCACCGTGGTGGGAATACACCATATAGGTATTTAATTACCATTTGATACTATTAATTACCAATGATTTAAAGATATATTTTTAAATAAGTAAAAGTCTACCAGGAAAAAATGTTTGTTACCAAACACAGGATATCTTTTGAGATACTTCAAGGGCAACTTTTCGGCAATTTACCAGGTTACTATGAATTACTCTTCAAATTCCATTCATTAGATAAAATGTTCTAAAAACATAGAAGATTTGTCATTTTCAGAAGTTCTAAAGGTTTAAGTTAAAAATCCACTTAAATTCTTTTGAGTTGATGTTCAAAATATAAACATCTTTTATTAAATTGTGTGTTTCCACTTATTTCAAATTGTCAGAATGATTACAGGTATTTTGGGGGTATTGGAAACTAACAGTTGGAATTCGATAAAAGAGTAGGTGATAGTGCCGCTGCCCGGGCAAAATTTCCTTCATAGCACACTGTATGGCGTATGCCCGTCTTCATTAGCCCAGTATAGGAGCAGAACAGTAGGACGTTAAACCCCATTTCATTTCATTTCATTTCAGTGTGATTTACAGCATTCTGGAGACTAAAGGGAGACAACTTCATACATACTTAGGTGCAAAAACATCTTTCATACTAAAGTGCAAAAACATCTTTCATACTAAACTGCAAAAATAAACTTTTTGAACCCATACATTTAAAATTCCAGCAGGTGGTTTGCTGCCCTGACAGACTGTCTTAATTAGCAAATGTTGTTATAGTATTTTCAGGGTCGGCACTTGACACGATTCCAAAATAAACCAGCAGGTGTTGGCAGTTATAGTAGTTAGGTGGTTATTACACAGGAATAAGTCATCCAATAGCCAGGATAAAACTGATTGTATGAATCTCTTACAACTACTTTATATCTATTGGAATTGTAAGATACATGTATCTGAAAACATTACCAGAGATGTTAAAGTGTAACTGAATGTCTTTAAGGACACAATAAGGCAGAGCGCGCACCGGACATGATACTATGGTCACAGATCTAAGTTTGTATAACCATTTCCCAGCAACCACACGTCTCGACACCTTGTCAGTCAAGGGTAGTTTGCCAAACGGATATCAGTTGCAATATCCGTTCAATACACTTGGTTAAAATAGACTAGTATTATTTGTACCATGATAGGTTAGAATTTGAATTGATTTGAAATTCTTCAGCCTGTCAGGTAGCTTCAACCAATTGGGCTGCATATGATGATAAAGTTATTACTCAAAACTTGATAGGAATTTTCAGAAAATGAGGAAAAGATATTGGATTCCTTAACTCACTGGAGACTAAAGGGAGATAATTTCAAAATGAGTCAAAAGTGATGATTCATTTAAAAAATTAAAGAAGTCTATGATATTTGAAGGTAATCGAATTACAAAATATGAAAGTGAGATAATTCTTTTTTATTATCAGAAACATAATATATTTGACTTTGATAATGTACTAATACAAAATCTTATAAATTAGGTTTATACATTTAAATAGTAATTGAGATAAAAGGGTGATGTCATCTTAAAAGGGAGTAGACCACAATTATCTTCTCCATTGACATCAATGTTAAATACACATGACATGTTAAATCAGCTGACTATTATATGGCATTAATTTCATGGCTATGATCACATGAAACTAATGATTTCAATTAGGAATTCTCCTATGTCACACATCTTTATTTCCTTATGCCTTTGTCAAAATGATAAATATGGAGTAAAATCTTGCGTAGATTCAAAACAAATTGGTATGCAAATTGTGCAGAAAAGGAGAAATAAGCCAACAGTGAGGCTAATATCCCCTGCCTTAATCAATTATGTGTAGGATAAAGCATGAGACTGAAGTTAAGCTGGGGAAAGAGAGAGTGAAGAAAACTACCTGAGAAAAGGAATAACTAAAGCCGGTAGGCCAAGGTTTTTCTGTTGAGGTTTTTTTTTTTTAAGTCTTTCTTCCCCAGCATAACCGAAGTCAAGGACTTTATTTTGCTTATAAACCGTCTGTGTTTACATGAATGCAAAATGGAAATATCCCAGAATTCCCATAAGAAAAACCTTATATCATGTTTTCTCACGGAACAAGCCAACAGTGAGGCTGATGTCCCCCGTCGAAACCCCATAATAAATAGATGACATATATTAATTAATTGCACATTTATTTTTTTTCCAAAATATCAAGCAATCAAACTGATTATCAACTATACACTAAGTTTCATCACTCTCTATCAGATAGAATGAAAATTATCATGTCCCAAAGCATCGACCAATGAAATTTCTTAGCTATGCTTAGCTTTAGCTCTAAATGTTACTCATTCACCTAAAATGAACATCTACATCAAGTTTAAACATTCTACCTTAATCAAAAGCAGATTTGTTATGTTCCAAAGTCTTACTGCTCCTTAGCCTCAGCAGAAAATTCTCATCATCGAACTTAGTCAAGGTAATGATATAGTGAATCTATACTCTGAGTTTCACCACTCTCTCTTAATCAAAACCAAAGTTATCATGCCCCAAAGCATCAACCAATCAGATTGCTTATCTCTGCTTATCCTAAGCAGACAATGTTTATCATCGAACTCCATCAAGTCATTCACCTAATGAACGCCTACACGAAGGTTGAACATTCTACCTCAATTAGAAAGAGAGTTATTGTGTTCCAAAGTATCGACCAATCAAATTGCTTATCACTCTGCTTACCCTGAACAGAACATGCTCACTATCAAACTTAGTCAAGGTATTGATGTGTAAGGCAGTTTTTCTCATATTTTTAGAGCAAAAGTACACCGTGGTTTACTTATTTCATCTAATTAGAAAAATAATATGTACCTGATCAGTCATAATTGTGTAGCAATAATATTTTCAGTAAACTGATAGTGAAAAAATGTCAATCAGTCAGCTGAAATATTGCTAGCCGGATGTGGACAGTGTGTTTGATAAGGCATGAACTGGATGTGGGCGTGGCCTGCCCCTGTTTTTGTACACCGTACAATCGGCATGATTGTTCTACAACTTGAAAACAAGTAAGAAGCCTGCAGAGATCCCAAATTATTTAATTATTTTCTGTGATCAAGGAAATACAAAAAGTGCCAATGTTGATCAACATTTAATCTGTAATCCTTTAACTTTTTAATCACCAATTAACTTATTTTCAATAACAAATAACTTTTGTCAAAACAGAACAACCTTACTTGAAAATCAACGCTTCCCATAAGGCCCCATATCATATAAGGCATTACATACTACAAAACCTTTAGATAAAAGGTTAAATTTGGACCAAAAAATGAATGCTTTCCTCAAGTCTGAATAACAAATAACAAGACCTGGTAACATGTGCATGGTGACCATGCTTTTTTGACGAATGATGAAGCTATCGATGTAATTCTAAATAACCTTTATTTTTATAAGATAAACAATGTAGGGACATGATGAACTGTTCTTATCACAACCTTTTTGCTTTTAGTGAAACGAAGACAGTACTTACAGAGGAATATTACTACCTGACATAAACTAAATATGGAAAATATTTTTTTGTTGTAATGATAAATGTGACCTGTGCTGGCAAAATGAGTTGGAATGCACAAAGTCTAATAATGAGCTACAGACAAAACAAGTGAAAATATTGATTTTGATCGAAATTGAGATGTTCACAAAAATGAGTCTATAAATATACCCTCTATCGGCCCAAAAGATAAAAATAGCAATAAAACATTTTAAAACACCTTTATTTGGACGTTTTGTAAGAGTACCGTATTCATAAATCTGTCTTTTGTCTTAAAATTCTCATTAAAATTAGTTATTTTCCTCCGTTTGCAGTGGAACAACCGGACTATCCTCTTACATAATACTTGGTATCGTTGAAAAGCGGTGAATCTCTAGTCTATAAATATGACCAAAGTTTTGAATGAATACAAACAAGTTTTAAAAAACCCTACAAAAGGTAAACAAAGTCCAGTTGTTGCTATGCAGTCATCACAACTTGTTTGCTGATTGCCCCAGACACCCTGTGCAAAGCATTGTGGTATCATGGCTGCCTTGAGGCTCAAGCTGGCAATAGAAACTTGATTTTGGCAATAATTTTTGGGGGTACATGCGATTCTCTCTGAGAAGTGGCAGAAAAAAAACCCCTTAAAATTCTTAATGTGTATAGATTGCCGTTGAGGGTTAATCAAAACCATGTGGCCGAAATACTATAAATTAATCAATAAAGCGGATCATGTCATTGAGTTACACTAATCAAATGTCCTGGATTAAAGATTAGTTGATTGATAATTGCAACAAATCATTATATACTCCGAATAATTTATCCAAGCGATGATTATTTGATATCTCGTTTCATCTTAAAAAAATAACTTATGGGCCTAAATGGAAATAAACAAAATGGCCAATAATTTTTTTTTCAAAGAGAATTTTATTGATAGCTGAATTCCGTATAGGGGGCCCTACTGTCGCTTCATACAGTATGCAAAGCATACAAGCATGCATAATTGGATATTATTGTTTCAAATTCTATTATGACCATGGGTCAGAAAAAGGAGAACAGTCAAACTCAATTTTCAAAATTTCCTCATTGCGACTCATTTTGCCAGCACGGGTTACAAATATTATTCAGATTGTAATATGCTAGATAACATAAGAATGGTAGCTTAATGACCATGACAACGCCATCTTGCGACCAATCCTGGCCTTCGTTAACCCCAACTAAAAATATCCGAAACAGAAACTCTACCTACAGTAAACAGAAAATCAAGGCCCTATCACTTAAATAATGACAAACATACACAAATCAATTGGGTGGTACAATATCTGAATACATACAATGCGTACATGATACATTTATAATAAAGTAACAAACAGACTTATAATTCCTTTTTTAATGTCTGTGAAGAAGTTTCAGTAGATTTTCTTTCTTCTTCTTGTATACTGTCTGTTTTCTCATTTGGAGTAGGATTATCACTTCCATCTGCTGACTCCCTAACAGATTCTTCAGCAGTTTTCACCTTTTCATACTGATCTTTTATAAAGTCAAACAACAAATTGAAACAAGACCACGAGGTTAATTCGTGCTGATTAGTTCCTGTTTTAAAACAAAATAAGAAGATCGTCGGGAAGAAAATAAAAAATGGTATCGAAGTCATGTTTATCAGTTCTCTCATTTAAATTGATTCTACGATCATTTCTAAATGGCTCAATATTTTGAACTGAAACATTCAGACAAGTTAAATAGGCTACTTAAATAGGATAATTAAATGAATATTGTTTTTTTTAAAACACAAAGGAAACTAGGACTGTACCTTGTATATAGTATTTCTTCAATTGTGAATTTCCATCTTTTACTTTCTATCGTAATCACAATTATCAAAACAAGAAAATGCCCAAACTTTGCACTATATCAAAACCCAAATTCCTTTAGAGTGAATAAATTTAATTGTTGAGTGATTTGGAAATAAGATGAAGAGAGTTTTGAAAAGTGTAATTGGTCAATATTTAAAATATGCATAGACATTCCTTGCTTGCATTTTTTCTGACTACCTCTGCATATATGTACCACATAATTGCAATTAAGAAACCTATAGTTAAAATCATTCAGTATTGAGAAAATGTACTAACCTGCAGCTATTCTAAGACAGTCATGTTTTTCATAGGAGTCCACTGGTTCACCTTGTTCTTTATTACTTGATACATAATTTACTGCTTTCTACAAAAATAAATAAAATATCTATTATTAACAATAATCATAAGCATTGAATCAAATAAAAAAGAATATCTTGGGCATAAAAACAAAACATTGAAACAAGCTTAATTCAGTTTTGACCATAGAGTTATATTTCTTTTTTTAAATTTAGTCGATTTTATTTACATGATACTTGATGGAAGAATGGTTGATAAATACTGTACAATATCTAATTAAAATTTTCTGAAATGCTCTTTTAAATGGACATTCAGGTTTACTGTGAAGTTCTGAGACAGGATTTTTTTTTTTTTCATTCAGGATTTTTTTTTTCAATGAATCTGTCATGAAATCAAATAACATAGCGTACGTAACTAACGTACGAAAATTAATTGGTGGCTAGGTTTTTTTTCGCACGTATACAGTGAATGGCGATTTTGCTCAGTAATCCCAGCCAGAATTTGGCTATTTTCTAAATTTGCGTTAAAGTTTGAAATATTTGTTTTAGAACTGAAACACATTAACTATTAGTCAATCCCAACGCTAAAAACATCAACAGAATTGATTGTGTATATCTGAAATAGACCCGACCGACGCACAAAATAGTGCAATATGGCGGCCTCTTCGAACAACCCTCGCAGACAATGTCATTGAAGACAACGTCAATTCTATGAGTTGTAGATGTTATTTTTGTGAAAAATCATTGGAAGAAGAGAGAACATGTTGGGACTCTACAAATTATATAGTCTTTATGGGTGCAACGGACACAATGCTGAAGATACACTGATAAACCTATTGTTTACAATGTTGACCTCATGACCCATTGATGCCAATGTCATGACCTGTGATGTGTAGATCACGTGATATGGATATCATGGCTACTGACTGTGTCTGAGATACTTCTCCGCAGGTAGCGTGTCTCAGATGTTCAGAATGATAACATAGATGACTTCAAATGTCCTGGGTCAGCCAATCATAGGCCATCAGTCATGTAAAATGTGAATATACTATAATAGATTGTTTATTTAATGACAATGGAGATATATAAATGGTGTACCTCTTTCAGGAAATCGACAATTGCTATATCATCTATTTGATGGCTGACACTGTGCACAGAATCTGTAAAGCCTATAGCAAAAACTCTACTTAAAATGTCAGAAGTAAATTTATTTGCCTGGAAGAAGAAAAATGTTGTTCAGACCACAAATCAATTTTAGTTTATTAAACTCAACAAACAGGGCCAACATTTATGACAATAGCCTTACCATTTTTTTTTTCCGTGAACCAGGTTGATTCTAGCATTGCATTTCTTAAACCCAGTTCACACTTGACAGGTGTTGCCTTTAAACTAACAAGGAAATTGTATCTAGTGTCATTCACATATAAAGGAAAACTAGGTCTTCTGAATACATCAAATATCCCTTGGAAGTTAGAGTTGAAAGAAAACAAAGCAGAAAGACTGCTATCTGGGCAAAAGAAACTTTAGTATTGAGTTGATAACACATTAAACGTCATTCCTTTCCTTCAGCAAGCATTTATAACTGTACTCCATTAAACCAACAGATTTACTTACCACTTCTAAAGTAACAATACCACCATAACTGTGAGCTACAATAGCTATATTTTTAGCCTTGGATTTTAAGACAAAATGTTGCCAAACATAAATTCCATGTTCTTCTGGTGTTTGGTTTTTCTGAAATCAAAAGCAGTTTACTTTTAATTCTGATATTTTGTATTTATCTTTCAATTTCTAGCCTGGGGACCATACAACTCTTGTTCAATTACTCACATGTAATGCACCATATAATTAAAAGGGCTGTTCATGACAACTTACCTGTCAACACAGTGATGTGATCATCCTATACAAAACATTTATTTGGTTGCTTAAAATGCTTGTTTGAGAGACAGAAGAATAGTCAGTTCTAAAATAGTGTTTCGAATAATTTTCCATTGAGTAAATTAGCATATGTGGATATTTTACAGTCTTGAACCATCTGTGATAGTGGTAAAAATATTCAATTAACTATTTGTGATATTATTGAGTGGTATATAATATGTATTGCATAAATTTATCTCTGAAGTTACCTTATATTCACTTTTTTATATTGCCTTATAAATTATGATTTATTTAATTAAAATCATGATATAAGAATATTGTATGATATATTGTACTTACTTTAACAGGATGTTCATTACCATCATTTAATTTGACTTTATTAACATTTGTATTTAATACTATTATACCATAACCTTGTTTTATACCTTCTCTTATATATGGTAATTGTGTTCCTTTATCTAAATTATCATTAATAATTAACCTGAAAACAAAAACAACAAAATAAATAAAACAAAAAATTAGAAATTTAACACTGAAATACATGTATATGGTAACTTTTATTGTAGAATGCTGCATCTTAGAACACATTTTTAGTAAAAGTGCAGTAATTGTCATAGAAAGTACCAAAAATATCTCACAATTTTGCGATTAGATTTTAAAATAGCTAAATACTCAATATTCAATGAGTGGAAATAAAATTAATGACAAGAGCAAAAACTCTTTCAAGAAAATAGAACTTAACATTTGTTATGTCAAAATGAACTACAACATTATTTTCAAAAAGCAATTGTTAATTCTTTCTTAAAAATATAATGTATAAAGTGATTTATCTAGGAATTGTCTACAAATACTCACTTTCTTGACCACTGTCCAGCTCTCACGGCACCTGAACCATGTATCAATACCATTAATTTATCTGGGTTACTCAGAGCATCTTCACTCATAAAGATAAAACTTCTAGCTGCATTTTCTTCAGCATCTACCTTTAATGACAGTCAGAAAAATAGATAAATTGCCAGGCAAAGAAAAATACACCATCTAGCAACTTTGTTGTCCTGACCTATAAGCTTGCTCAATCATTAGTGTTTTTTTGCAAAATCTTTAAGGGCTATAACTCTGCATGAACTTATATGGAATCTTTCCAATTTGGTAGGTTTTAGTGAATTAAGTTCCATGGCTTCTTTTACATCCACAATATTCTATTTAGCAATCAAGGGCCATAAGTTGCCCAGTAATTATACGTCTTCTACTCTTCTACCACACAGTACAACAAATTTGTTTTAGTTAAAAGGTACAGTCCTGTATGGTGGGAAATTAAAACAAAACAAAATTGAAGCAAAACTAGAGTTCTCCTTGAAACAACTTTGATAGTTTTTATACAATACAATCACACACACTTATACATAAATCATAATATTTAATAGGTTAATATGTATTGTTGACCTGGTTTCTTTTCAAGAATCTTAAAGAGAAAATTAAAATCCGTCAAAAAGTTGCTATGTTATAACGAAAAACATTTCAGCTGGGCCAAATCTTCTGGGGTTTTCTTTTTTTTAAAGTTGCACAGAATAATAATAATAATAATAATAATAATAATCTATATAACATTTAAAACCTAAAGAAAGACTTGCAGTGGGCAAATTTAGCTCCTGAATAATGTATTCTTAATTATTTGTCATCAACATTTTACCCGATTTCAAAGTTTTTCACTTTTTTAAAAAATTAAATTTCATGACATCACTTTAAATAAAAATCTAGGACAAATTACAAAATTCTAATCCCAGCGATCGATTACTAATAGTGAATGATTTCCAAAACTATAATGATATTGAAAATTGGATAAGAATTGTAGGACTAGATAGATTTTAAAGATTGACTTGCGTTTTCAGAATGGTGGCACTTTCAGTGAATTTCAAATTGTAGAAAATACTCTAAAAAGTTGATAAACAACTCCTATTGACAAATATTTTTATATAAGGCAAAATTAAAGAAGTTGAAAATCTGACGTCATTTTCAACAGATAGATAATCGGAAAATTTTCTTATGAGAACATGTAGATAAAAGATCTGTCATATTAATTTGAGGCCAAACAATTACTTACTAAAATGACTATTTTTCACTCTGGAAGCACTAAACCCATATTTTGGTTAACATTTAAACTTATTCTGATATTAAAGGTGCTGTGCCATACTCTCTCACATTATTCATTGCACATTAAGTTGCACATTATCTTTGTTTACAAACGGATTTTGATAAAACTTTCAGAATAAGCACAAAATGACCTAATTAATCACTTAGCAGCAACATTTGACCTGATTTCAAAGTTTTACAATTTTTTTGACAACATTTGATGTCAAATATCAAAATTCTTATTCCACCAATCGATAGCGAATAGTGAATGGTTTCCAAACATTTAAAGATATTGACAGTCAGAAAAAAATTGCAGGAAAGGATAGATCTTAAAGATTGACATACGTTTTCAAAATGTTGGCACGGTTCCAGTGAATTTTAACGTGATAGGATTACTCTAAAAAGCTGATAGATGACTCCTATTGACAAGCATGCGTCTTAGAAACCACGTTCTATCTCCCAGAATTTGTGAATTACGAATACCTACCAGTTGGTGAAAACCATATTATAATTCTTTGAAACATAAAAAAGTTTCCTTTGATGTCTATTATTGGTCAAATTTCGTCTATGACGTCACATTCGGATATCATTTTCAAATTTTTAGTTATTCATTATTAGGCCTTTGAACTAAGTACCTTTCAGGTAGTATAGAATTTAATTTTTGGAATGCGTACTTTCTCCTAAAAATTGTGTAAAAATTATAATAATAATGTTTACAAAAACAATAGGTTTTATACTACATAGAAGTATCAAAACCAATTAAAGCAATATGGGTGGGACTGTAGACTGACAATCACCGCTAAAACCAATACAATTTTTTAAAACATTAAATTCTAACGTTAGCCTAAAGATCATCCACACAATTAAGGCATTCTGGAATCTGGACAGGTGACTCAACCAATGTGAAGCTACTTTTGATACCATTTCATTGTGGGTATATTAAAGATAGGTTGCCAGGCAACGAAACATACGCCCACAGCAGCTAAATCGTCCGGGCAGTCAACAAGAGTTGTCGCGTATTACGTTTATAATACACTAAAATCTGATTAGGAGCAACAACTCAGAAAACCATTAGCTTTTATAAAGTTCTGCCCCATGCTAACGTTTTGTATACAAAACTTTTAATACAGTATCATGGATTTAGCTGTTCCAAGTCATAAAAATTCATTGAAAATCAATATACTTGTTCGTCTCAAGATCTTAAACTCTGTGTATCAATCTGAAGTTAGTCGGATATTAACTTTGGGATCTAGAGCGTCCACAAGCAATTGTGGACGGACCGACGGACGGGGGCGACGACAATATACATGTACGACCACATTTCAATGTGGGCGTATAGAAACCATATAATTTTGTTTAGAAAAATCACTCATTGTTTAAATTAATTAGTTGGAATATTCATAAAGTAAACAAGCTAGCTGACTGAATTAATGAAATATTGACGCAGTGCATTAAAGAGACATAGCGATAATCTCCATTATATTGGTTCTCCCTGTTCCTAGATATATTAGTATCATTACCATTATAACGTCTCAAGGTTCTGAACTTAATTAAAATATAACATCTTTAAATTCAATATTTCTCCACTACATAAGTTCTTCCATATATTCAGAACAGCTGCTATATATTCAGATGTTGGCTGTGTTATACACGTAACACAAATAAGAACACAACCTACTGATAAAACATTTTATATGTAATATAGAACTGAATTCGCTAAGTTATAAAATACAATGAAAGAAAAAGAACAGTGAATTAAACATCCGGGCCTTGTTTCACAAAAACTTAAGCTAAAATTACTAAAATAGATTTAAACTAAAAATCTTACTTACAGGTATATAAACTCTTTTTAATTTTGTTTCCTTTTCCATTAAATCATAAACATAGTCTGTTATTTTCTGTGAAAAATTAATACAAATGTTGCACATTTAATGTCAATAAAATCACAGAAAAGCTAAGCCAGCTGATCGCCACTCTGTGATCCATGCAAGTGACTAGAAAATCACCTGATGCCTCAGTATAGTAAATAAAAAAACATAATATTTTAAACATTACTGTTGTTCAAAAATGTTAACATTAGATTTTTTAAGGCTTTAGTATTTGATACATGTATGGTGTGTTTAGGTAGCGATGACTATTTATAGGCTAATAAGTGATCACTTAAGAAATTGTCATTTGAGGGTGAATATTCGCAGAAATAAATTCAACTTTTACTAAAGCCAATTTTAGTCTGTGTGGACACCCTACTATAAACTGTATATTGTTAACATAAATTATATAGGTACCAGTAGCTACATGATACACTCTAGGTCAAACTGATCCACAGTAAATATTCACTTGGCTGCTACTATCACTCAGACGGATATCGGGGCGAGTTACTTAGCTCTCAAATATTAATTTTTTTTGTTCTGCTAATTAAATGCCAAAACCATTATTAGAAAAATAAATAAAAAATATACCATATTTAGTGTAAATGGGTACATAAAATAGTATGCGGAGGCATAAAATTAGTAAAAAGGCGCCAATTTTACGTCTGATGTAAAAAAACATTGTATGATGTGACGTCACACATAGAACTATACTGGGCATGACCATAAAGGTCTTGTACAGAGTTAAATGAAGGTTTTTGCATTACCATTGTGAAACCGATCATATTTAGGTATGGTGATGGTCACATTATCCACCAAAGAATCCTGAGTGTAAGACAATGTTTAATAATTAATTACTGTTGCATGTGTAGCCAGTAAAATTGACTCTTAATTCATTTCATTATCATATCCAGAACCAACTCATTGAATATTATTCTCTAACTGCTGTACCTACCTCTCCCAAAGCTTCATATCTTTTTTGATTGTATCTGTGGTCACCCTCAGAATGGTGGAAATTATAATATTCATCTGTTTGTATATCTCTTAATTCTCCTTCTATAAAATAAAGAAAACAATTGCTTCAAGTCAATTATTCATTTGATCATAATACATGCTGTAATTAGTAAAGGAAGACCACTCTATACACAAAAGATAACACAAAGCTGGACAGAGAATAGCACATTTAAGTCATCACATCAAACAACAGATATATAAGCTTTATTTGGCAGATGCACACCTGACAATGAGAATCAGGGAAGGATTAGACTGTTAAGTCTGGTTCATCAAATGAATTGGTCTTAAATCATTACTCTCTATGATGTCTCTGGTTTCCAGGTACATAGCACATACTCAAAAAAACAAACAGATATATAAGGAGAATTCAGCTCCACACATATTTTGTATTAAAATATTTACAACTGTGCACATCTGCAACATTTAGATTTCTTCTTCAAGGGTTTCGATAACAGTATTCACTTCCCAATTTGCAAATCAAATCTTGCCCAGTGCTAATCAATTTGCTACAAAATAGCTAACTTGATTCGCACAAATGCTAATCAAAGATTTTGCTTTTTTATTTCTCACATGGACAATTTTCTTTACCCTTTCTAACTGTAAAAAGTTGTCAGTTTTAATAACGATTTTTCGACATTTTTTCACTAGTTTTGTCACAATCATCTAGTATCTATTACAGGTAAAACTGAAATTTAAGCATCCCCTATATTATGTGGAGTTACATCCCCTGCATTTTTCAATGATGTGCTTTTTTGATAAAATAAAAATAATTCATGGATTCTCTTCACAAAATGGGATAGATATTATCGAATATATAACAAAGATTGACACTAGTATTAATGCGGGTAGTAAATGATGTGTTTAAAGAATTTATAACAGAGATCTGTGGCAAAGAATTTTCAGTACCATAGCAAGTTTTGCTGTTACGTCAACAAATGACATTGTTGTGAATATTGAATGTTCTACATAAGAATCAACAAATGAAATGTCATCGAAATTATTCCGATTGGCCTACTACGTTTCTTACTGGTGTCTCTGGCACTGCTTTGGAGAAAGAGTATTTGTAATACACGAGAGAATATAGACAGCAGTGAGAAACCTTGAAATATTTATAATAATAATTTTGAAATAGTGTGACTGAAATAAAGCTTTAAATAATATTATAAATTCAAAGACAGACTTTAGTTCAATCACACTTTGCAGAAATTTTAGTCTGTTATGGATGGGATATTCATAGACTACTAATCCAAACTGGACATAACTAATCAATTCGCCTGAATTTATCTAACTTGATTAGAGTTCTGCTAATCAAGTTCAAAAATTATCGAGACCCCTGTTCTCCATTGCACTTACTGTCATTAAAGTCATAACCAAACTCTTGTAATGTTTCAGGAAAAGTGTATGTTGGTTCTTCTTCCTCACTTTCTGCTAAAAATAAAATAGAACATATATACAATATAGAAAACTTTTAAATAAACAATCAAACACTAACACTGATGTCTCAAAATATATACGATGACACAAATTAATTAATTATTTCACATTTATCATTTTGTAAAGTATCTTGTAAAATGGATGGGAAATCTTCCTTTGTTCAATGTTATTGCACACTTTTGCTAGTTTACACTAGTTTTAGTAGAAATCATATAGAGAAGTGGGGTGGGTTTTCTGTGCAATAACAATAAGCATGTTGAGTAGTTGTCAATGTTACAAGTCATTTATAGCACGCTTCATTCGTTAACAGGTTTAACCCCTTCGGCATTCGGCCTCTGGTTAAACCTGTTAACTCATGAAAGCCGTGCTATAAAAATAACATCATACTTAGTCAAGTTTGAACATTCTAGCACCATTAGAGGCAGAGTTATTGTGTCCCAAAACGTTTGACGGAGAGACAGTTGGATAGACTTTCTGCAAAAGGTGTGTTACAATAAAATCTGGAATGGAATGGTGGAATTCCTGGTAATACGAATGGTGTTTATTGTTTGTAAAAAGTTTTACCTACACATCAATGACAACTAGTCATATAGCCTGCATGTGAATTGAATTGGGCAGGAGTACCCAGATAGGCATTGCTATCCCCATAAATTCTGGTCAGGGTATAGTAGTTACAAACCCACATGGGTGGCATTGCATTTTAGCTGTTTATATGTTAGGTAACCTACATACTCCTCGCAGTGTTTCATTTGATTAGAGCTAATCCCACTACTCACTGCTGTAAACAAAGCAAATTCTTGTTCTAAATTATGACTGGTCAATAGTCTGATTAACAACCAATAGCTAACTGTGTAACAATTCCAAACAGAGCTCCAAATTGGACCAAATATGTTTACATAACGTTACATCATGACTCATGATTTTATTATGCCCAATTAACCAGTGCATAGCAGAATATTGCGGAAAAACTAATTGTGTGACAAACAAGGCTATCAACTGTCGACACGGATATAATGTAAACAATATTGTTTTGAAAGAAACAACACTTTCACCGTTTTTAATACCTTAAATCACTGTCCAAAGTTTTAGGGAAGACCCCTGATTAAACCAAGGGCTGTCATGTTGCTGTGCTTTTGGATAGATTTGATTGAACGGGAGGAATAGACACACTCCCTCGAAAGCGCAAGTATCAGAAGCTAATTCAGGAATGGCCAGAGAGGGATTTCACGGGCCATTGCTTCAGGAATATGGGTAACCTATAACATAATCACTCTTATAATACCTACCTGGACTAGGTGGAATGTTTGTATTAACGCCCGCCATTATCTGAAGCTAGAAAAATGAATCTACAATTCATTTCAATAAATTAACATCTTTTTTAATTACCAGTATATTATTATAATTATTCCAGAATAGAAATTAGGATTACATATTAACTGATCCAGAAGTAGTTAATAAAAAAAATTGTTGAAATCCTACTTAATCAAAGGTAATTATAAAACAGCAAAAAAACATCAGTATGATTATAAAAATAAGAGAGGCACTTTAATCAAATCATTCTAGAAAACGACTTAATAAATGGATCAAAGCAATTTTTTGTTAACAGTATGTTGACACATTAGTGATTAATTCATCACAATTCCAAGACATTAAGGGAAGGTTTAGAGTCTGTACACATTCTATATATCAGTATCTGGTGTGTCCACTGTGAGTGTCAATAACAGCAGCGCAGCATCTGTACATTGAGTGGACCAGACAATTGATGAACGCCATTGGCACCTGGAACCACGCTCTAAGAAAAGCCTGGTGCAATGCGTCTATTCAGAGTAACATACCAACCTGACGTTTCTTTTGTTGCTTAGTATACTCTTCAAACAAAGTAGGGGATATTCAGAAACAATACAAAACTGTGGAAATGCACTGCTGTTTTTATTATCGGTAACCAGTGGATGTTAATAACAGGCCAATTGCCTACACATGGACATAAACAGTTCATATGTATGGCTTATCTTACGGCCCCATTTCACTCGCAAAGAGATACACTGTCAAAAGTGAAAATGGACGTTTTTGATTTTTGTCTTAATAATGAGTAATTGTTCCACCAATCCTCAGACATTCAGCAATACGTCGTGGCATGCTCCTAATCAACCGTCCAATCACGATTTGGGGCAATCTGACCCACTCCTTTTGCAGTGCCACGGCCAATTCTTGCAGTGTTGTCGGTTGACGTTGACGTCGACGAAAACGTCTCCCCATCAAATTAAACGTAACACACTAAAGCAAAGATACGCTAAACACTAAATCTTATGTAAGAACCGATAGGAAAGCAAACATGGAGAGATAAACCAGCACGCGGCAGTTTTCATCAACCCTTCCTTGAAGTGTCAAATTTGACAATGAACTCCTCCCACCTTTATATATGGCGCTATTCTATTGCTTGTCGCATGTGCAGCTCAGTGGTTCGGATCTGTTGGGGCGATAAGTTCTTTATCTGTGAACATACTCTCAACGCATGTCAAATGTCCACGACTATTTATCATATCTTTATCATATCGCAACCTGCATAGGTATTTGCATTTCAATATCCTCTACTTTTTTTGAAGAGTATATAACACAGAAGAGATATATTTTTGTTCAGTTGTTGGTCAGATTTATCCATTGCAATTAATCCCCGGTTGTACGTGACAAAGAGTAGGGTCGCCTGTCCAACCTCGTGGGTTTTCTCTGGGTGCTCCAGTTTCCTCCCACTGCTAAAGACCCCTACGCGCAAGTGAATTATTGAAATAAAATTAAAACCATATATTCGTCCCGAAGTGACCTAGTTTGTGTCGAGTGGACGTTAAACCCCATTTCTCCCTCTCCCTCTCATTGCAATAATAACAACATATAGGGCACAAACTTACCAACAATGTAAATAGTAAAATAGCAGCTAAGACCATGAAAGCTACAACTATGTTTAAATATGATACATGCTGTAAAAATACGCTAAATATAAAACCTGTCATAACATCTTCATTTCCTAAGTATAGAATTTACAAAACGCAAGTAGTGTAGGCTTCCCTGTACTACCATTCGGCAAACCTCGACAGAGTGCTTTCACCACGTAATAGACGAAATCATCCAGCCATCTATTTCGTAGGGGCTTTTCTCCTCAATATTGGCGTGAATATCTCGGGATTCGGACATTAATTATTTTATAAAACAAGTATTATAGGATATAATTTATATTTCTTATCCCATATTCCCTTTGTTACCAAATGGTCATATCGTCGGCGCTATTGCACTTTCGTACCTCTACCAGTTCCCGCGGACGTAGGCACTTTTCAGAGGATGTTAAGGGGGGCTAGCAATGACCACACACCAAATTTAAGCCGAATCGATCAATAACTTTTTATTTTACCGACCTTTTAATTTCTAACGAGAGAGAACTCCGTCCGTTTGACGCCCGTTTGACGCCATTTGCTTTGCTTACTATTTAGACTCGAATAACAAGACACTAAGACGGAAACCGACTCGAATAACAAGACACTAAGACGGAAACCGACACACTGCACAAGCAGCCTAACACTGCAGTTCATAAAAATTAATATAATTTTCGTATACTTTAATTTTTGCGCGAAGCCACCATTTTCTATAAAATACTATTTGGTGTTGATCAGTGGATTGGCCTTTACGTGTGAATATTGCCGTGACCTTGATTTTGACCTTGAGTCCAAACTTCCCATCCATATCGGGGCCTTTGCGTTTATGCTTGCCGTGGCCTTATTTCTTACTGTATTATCAAAGTTAATGTTCGAGGTGAAAGCAGAGACGACGTCCTTCGGAAAAGATAATTGGGTCAAAGTCGTAGGTCAAGGTCATGTTACAGAAAACTAAACTGAAACTTTTCAAAGTCATTTTTTGGACATTTGACCTTGACTTACGACCTTGACCCCGTAACCATTTTCGAAGGCTAGCACCTTGGCTTGAATCATGGACGTTTACCTTGGTTCTGTCACACACTGCTCGGTCAGAAAAGGGTCAAACGGAGAGGGGCCCGTGTCCGAAAGGAAGTCAATGGGCGTGGTCAATGTGAAAGGTCGTAGTGACCTCCACTAGTCACCGTTAACCATCCGTGACCTTGACCCTGACCTAGAGTTCGAACTTCCCATCCATCTCGGGCCCTTTGCGTTTATGCGTGCCGTGACCTTATTTCTTACTGTATTATCAAAGTTAATGTTCGAGGTGAAAGCAGAGACGGCGTCATTCAGAAAAGATAACTGGGTCAAAGTCGTAGGTCAAGGTCATGTTACAGAAAACTAAACTCAAACTTTTCAAAGTCATTTTTGGGACAGGGCCAGGGTAAACGTCGATGGTTCAAGCCAAAATGGTTACGGGTCAAGCTCGTAAGTCAAGGTCAAATGTCCCAAAACTGACCTTGAAAAGTTTGAGTTCAGTTTTCTATAACATGACCTTGACCTACGACCTATGACCCAATTATCTTTTCTGAGGGACGTTGTCTTTGATTTCACCTCAAGCATTAACTTTGATAATACAGTAAGAAATAGGGTCACGGCAAGCATAAACGAAAAGGGCCCGAGATTGATGGGAAGTTTGGACTCAAGGTCGAAGTCAAGGTCACGGATGGTTAAAGGTGACTAGTGGAGGTCACCACGAACTTTCACATTGACCACGCCCTTTGACGTCCTTTCGGACACGGGCCCCTCTGCGTTTGACCGTTTTCTGACCGAGCAGTGTGCGACAGGGCCAGGGTAAACGTCGATGGTTCAAGCCAAGATTATGGGCTTTGAAAATGGTTATGGGATCAAGGTCGTAAGTCAAGGTCAAATGTCCCAAAACTGACTTTGAAAAGTTTGAGTTCAGTTTTCTGTAACATGACCTTGACCTACGACTTTGACCCATTTACCTTTTCTGAAGGACGTTGTCTCTGCTTTCACCTCAAGCATTAACTTTGATAATACAGTAAGAAATAGGGTCACGGCAAGCATAAACGAAAAGGGCCCGAGATGGATGGGAAGTTTGGACTCAAGGTCGAAGTCGAGGTCACGGATGGTTAAAGGTGACTAGTGGAGGTCACCACGAACTTTCACATTGACCACGCCCATTGACTTCCTTTCGGACACAGACCCTCTGCGTTTGACCGTTTTCTGACCGAGCAGTGTGCGATAGGACCAAGGTAAACGTTCATGATTCAAGCCAATGTGATAGCCTTCGAAAATGGTTACGGGGTCAAGGTCGTAAGTCAAGTTCAAATGTCCCAAAAATGACTTTGAAAAGTTTGAGTTTAGTTTTCTGTAACATGACCTTTACCTACGACTTTAACCCAATTATCTTTTCTGAAGGACGTCATCTCTGCTTTCACCTCGAACATTAACTTTGATAATACAGTAAGAAATAAGGCCACGGCGAGCATAAACGCAAAGGCCCCGATATGGATGGGAAGTTTGGCCTCAAGGTCAAAATCAAGGTCACGGCAATATTTACACCTAAAGGCCAATCCACTGATCAACACCAAATAGTATTTTATAGAAAATGGTGGCTTCGCGCAAAAATTCAAGTATACGAAAATTATATTAATTTTTATGAACTGCAGTGTTAGGTAGCTAGTGCAGTGTGTCGGTTTCCGTCTAAGTGTCTTGTTATTCGAGTCGGTTTCCGTCTTAGTGTCTTGTTATTCAAGTCTAATTAGTAAACAAAGCAAATGGCGTCAAACGGATGAAGTTCTCTCTCGTTAGAAATTAAAAGGTCGGTAAAATAAAAAGTTATTTATCGATTCGGCTGAAATTTGGTGTGTGGTCATTGATAGCCCCCCTTAACATCCTACGACCACGGGAACTGGTAGAGGTACGAAAGTGCAATAGCGCCGTTCTGTCTTGTTAGAAATTAAAAGGTCGGTAAAATAAAAAACAGTTATTGATCGATTCGGCTGAAATTTGGTATGTGGTCATTGCTAGTCCCCCGTAACATCCTCTGAAAATTTCAAGTGTCTACGACCAAGGGAACTGGTAGAGGTACGAAAGTGCAAACACTTACAAACACCGGAATTCACTTACAAACACCGGAATTCACCGGAACACTTTGAAGATATCAGAATTCGCCCGCAAGATCTTTCTATTTATTTATATTTTTCATAAATATTAATTCACTTTGAAAACATTTAAACACCGGATTTCACTTTCAAAATACATGTATCGGAATTCGCACTTAAAGGGACTATCCCTTATTTGAACAGAGTCTCAAAAATAAAAGTCTGAGTATGTATGAAATTTAAACGCCAAAATATAAAGGAATGGTGTATTGACCGTATCTCAAAATTTCAGCTCAAAATATTGAGTCTGCTTATCCGGACACATAACCCTTTTAAGATTTCGGGTCAATTTTTTCGTTGGGAGACCTGATAATCGATTCCCGTTCATTGAGAGGTCTATACAGTGAATGACCCAAATGCTGTACTTGATAATGAAAGGTAAATTTCACCTATACACATTATTTTTATACAAAAAATGTCTGTTTTTATCTAGACACCGAAAAATACAGCTTGGGACACCGGTCTCCATTTCCAGATGGAGACTGACGGGTTTCAGTTATTTGAAAACTTATCACAAATATTGAGTTAGTTGCTCGGCCCTTAGGTAGAGGATTTTAAGGGATTTTAAAACAAAATTAAACAGTTTTATTCTCCAAAAAATTATCGGGATTAGCCCTTTAAGTTAATAATAATTATTATAATCAATTTATAAAGCCCTGAATATCCAACAAACGAGTTGCTCAAGAGCGCTACACTAATATTTTGCATTAATCATAAATTACTTTAAAACACAATCCTATTTACTAATATTTGATATTAATAATAAATTACTTTGAAACACAGAAAATCACTGGAATTCACTTGGAAAACATATAAACACCGGAATTTACTGTCTATATATCGGATTCGCACGTAAGACATTCCTATTTACTAATAGCTGCATTAATAATAAATAACTTTAAAACACCGGAAATCATCTTGAGAAAATCGGGATTCGCCCCAAGACAATTGTATTTACTTATTATTATTTTGTATTAATATTAATACCATAGAATACCGACAAGACGTGTTTTACACCGGAGAGAAATCGGAGAAGGAAAACTTAAGAAATTCAACCAAAATTTTAATTTTTTTGTTTTAAAACTATACACAATACTGTATGTCTAGAATATCAACCAACGAGTTAAGTATGGCATTTTAATTAACTAGGAGTGCTGGTCACCGCCCTCGACCTCCTATAAATCTTCACATTTCATCAGAGCGTGAAATCCAAGATGGCGTCCACCAGCATCAGTAAATACCACATGTCAATGAATCTACTACTAGCTTGTGCTACAATAGCATTTATAGTATACCCTAAATTCCAGTCCTCATCCACCCACATATGCAGTGGCGCTCACATTCCGTTTACCACACCCGAAACACTTCTCGTATGCTGATACACTGAACCTACCTACAGAGCACCATCAGATAAGGGATACAAATGTTTACTGACACTCTTAGTCCTGCTATCAGGAGATGTTGAACTAAACTCAGGCCCAGGTAATGCCTTTATATGCCCACGTGGGGTACCAGTAAGATGGTCTCAGCAAGGTGTTTGCTGCAACAACTGTAGTATTTGGTTCCATAAAACATGCACGAAGAAATCTCGACGAAGAATATGTCCTACCTAAACCGTTCGAACGTGGTCTGGCATTGTTGCCGATGTGACAGTATAAACGTTGATAGTTTCACATTCAACAGCTTTGAACTAACCTCAAATATTTATTTCCCACTTTGGGAGGGAGACACTTAACTGAGTCGATCACATCATCATGCTTCAGCCCTATGCACACGAGCAGCCCCCACCATAGGAAAGGTAGCCCACTAAGCCACTGTTCAACATCACCGAACATTGCACAAGATTCATGCAGCTACACAAACCCAGATATATAAAAAAAAAAACCAAAACAATAAACCTAAGACTAGGCCTACTTACTGTAAACTGTCGTGGCACTAGACTACATTAAACCTGATATAACATGTGGAACGGAGTCATGGCTAAGGGGGGTAAAACCAGGGAAAGACCCTTGTAAAAAGGCGATCAAGAACAGCGAGGTGTTCCCTAGTAACATCACCGTTCATAGAAACGATAGATCTACAGGGATAGGAGGAGGGGTATTCACGGCAGCAACTGATTGGCCGCGAAAGTTCATCCAGATTTTACGGCGTGGTTCCCCCTGTCAGTGATGCAGGACGGAGGGCCTGACAAGGACAGCTGTCTAGTCATTCGGATGATACGAAAACCCGAGTCCCGTGTACAAATTGGCGTTGGAATTCGATATAAGAGTAGGCAGTAGTGCCGCTGTCCGGGCAAAATTTCCCACATAGCACACTGTATGGCGTATGCCCGTCTTCATTAGCCCAGTAGGACGTTAAACCCCATTTCATTTCATTTCATTTACAGTTTTGATGGAAAGAATAACCGAGGTCGGCCATTTGTGCATCTATCTGTGCACAAGTAGTAGGCCACACTAGCTGACTTATTATCAATAGGAGTGTTTTGTTAATGGCGCATTCGATCTTTGTCTGTATTCATATTAGAGGAACGTGGTAGGCTTTATAGTCAGCCTGATTTTGATGTAAACCTGGGCCGAGAATTGAGAACCAGCGAGTTTATCAAGCGCGGCCATGTGAGGCGCTGACAAGTAAAGTTTGCCAAGTTTTTCGGATGGAACGCAAAAACGAGGCCCATCCGTGTACATGAAAAATAACTCTGACAGTTGGAAATTACCCCACTTTTCACACTTCGTTCCTGTATTCATTAAATGAACGTATATCAGGTGGTTTATGTCATGGTTTTAACAGTATTAAGCTACCGATATAACGACCCGCTATCTATAGTATACACAGTCTACATCCGTTTATATCCATGCCTTAACATATCAACTTGCCTTTTTAACACATAGGTTAGAGCAGTGCACGCGTATGTCACTGCGAAATCAGGTTTACGACTGGCCTTGACTGAATTTTTGAATAGCAAATTGTTCTAGTTGCTGACCTGATCAGCTGACTGTTGAAGCCATAGCAGCCTCATAGTAAATGCAATGTGTTATTTACAGTACTGTTTATCCTATGGATGCAAGAAATCGTCAGTGCAAAAACAATTAAAGGATATGCAACATCTACAACCCAATGAAGATGATATTGCTAATGCAAATGTCCCCGCAGTTACGTGTGAAAATTGGTTTTATGGTTAGTATTAATTTTCGTAGTATTACTATGCTTGGATATCAACAATAAATATTATATGTGCCAGCGTGTGTAGCCTATACGTACGTAATGAGTTCACCTTATTCAATATATCAGTTTAATATTTGGACCGCGTACGTTAGCCTACAGTGGCTAGTGTTATTACTGGATGTCACCTGATGAGATTAAATATTTCACGCATCGATTTCGTATGGTTATCGATAAAATTCTCTATGATTGTTCAGTTGCAGGAAGAATCCAATGAAAAGGCCAAGATCACTAAATATTTCCCCATTGACTTTAATGTTAATTCTCGTATCTTAGACCGGCTCTAACTTTTTCCTAAATTTTCGTCGGGTAGAACGCTTTCTGCCACAGATGGAGCAACATGTGGCAAACTCTTGTCCAAAGACATGTATGAGCGGAGATGGTGGGACGATTTATCCAATACCACCCAATACTACCCCAATATATATACCACCTCAATATCACCACATACTACCCAATACTACACGATAATGATGCAAAATAGACATATCATTTGAATTTTTTCAAAAAAAGAGAGTTATATCGCGAGAAATGTACTTCAAATGCGATACCGATGTCATCAGGCTCTTCCATTTGCCTCCCTACCACCCAAAACAAGCCAATAATAACCCAATAGTACCAAATACTCATCAAATACTACTACCCAATTTGATTAAATAACAACCTAATTTTGTCAAATAACAGCAGATTAGTGTAATTACTGCAACAAATATTCCTGGCATATTATACCCAAATGATTTTTTACAGGACGCGATATACTTTCTAGACAGCATGTTATCATAAAAAAATTACCAGGATGAAGAAATATAGTATAAGAAGACTTTTGAGTAGGCCACTAGACCGTTAAATGAACATTTTTAAATCAACCTCTACAATACTTGGATGTTTGGCTGTTTATTTTATACACTGGTTTTATTGTTATGCATTTTTAAATCTTTGTTAACTTCTTTTAAAACTCTTTTTATTTTATGTTATGTTATATATTGATATGCTTTTAACGTGTAATATTGTATGAATACACTATAGAGGGAGCATCTATAATAACCTGTTTTCCTGATCTTAACTTCGTCGTCTTTGAAACAAACTGCAAAGCCCAACAAGATGATTAGTCTGAGTAACAATCTAAAGTCTATTTATCGGTTGAAAAGGGAGATAACTGCGTAAATATTTCAATTTTCTGCAAATTATCGAACATTCGTTGCAATAATTATACTGATATGATTCTAATTGACGATATTAGGTTTGTATTTTATAATATTGTGTAGCATTTGGTAGTATTTGTTAAATATTTGGTAGTATTGGGTTATTATTTGCTTGATTTGGGTGATATATAGGTAGGCAAATGGAACAGCCAGACATCGGTAATCCCATTTGTAGTACATTTCCCACGATATATCTCACTATTTTTGAAAAAAAATCAAGTAATATGCTCATTTGGAACCATTATGTTGTAGTATTGGGTAGTATGTGGTGATATTCGGGTGGTATTGGGTAGTATTGGTTAAATCGTCCCACCGGTCGTACGTAACTAACGTACGAAAATTAATTGGTGGCTAGCTTTTTTTTCGCACGTATACAGTGAATGGCCATTTTGCTCAGTAATCCCAACCAGAATTTGGCTATTTTCTAAATTTGTTTTAGAACTGAAATAAATTAACTATTAGTCAATCCCAACGCTAAAAACATCAACAGAATTAGTTGTTTATATCTGAAATAGACACGACCGACTCACAAAATAGTGCCAAGATGGCTGCAGACGCTGTCAATAGTGTCATTGAAGACAACGTCAATTCTATGAGTTGTAAATGTTATTTTTGTGAAAAATCATTGGAAGAAGAGAGAACATGTTGGGACTGTACGAATTATAGTCTTTATGGGTGCAAAGCACACAATTCTGAAGATAAACCTATTGTATACAAAGTAAGGTGTTGTTGACCTCATGACCCATTGACGTCAATGTCATGACCTGTGATGTGTAGATCACGTGATATGGATAAGATGGCTATTGACTGTGTCTGAGATACTTCTCCGCAGGTAGCGTGTCTCAGATGTTCAGAATGCCCACCGGTATGAGGTTCACCATGAAAAACTTGAGATACACATGCTGGAAGTAGAGACAAGTAAACATGCAATTTTCGGCCCTACATTTCAACCTAACCAACCTCTTAACTCTTCTATCCTTCCGCCTCAAGATCATGAATATTCACCAAAACCTGTCAGAAAATGTATTTTCAAACCCATTTCTTCGATCGTGGGTGACGGCGTATTCGGGTGGTATTGGGTAGCATTGGGTAAATCGTCCCGCCGGTATGAGGTTCACCATGAAAAACTTGAGATACACATGCTAGAAGTAGAGACAAGTAAACATGCAATTTTCGGCCCTACATTTCAACCTAACCAACCTCTCAACTCTTCTATCCTTCCGCCTCAAGATCACGAATATTCACCTAAACCTGGCAGAAAATGTATTTTCAAACCCATTTCTTCGATTCTACACCAAAAATCGCCATGCAAAAGGGGGGAAAAGGGAAAGGGAGAGAAAGGCTTCGTGGGTGACGGCTTATTCGGGTGGTATAGGGTAGTATTGGGTAAATCGTCCCGCCGGTATGAGGTTCACCATGAAAAACTTGAGATACACATGCTGGAAGTAGAGACAAGTAAACATGCAATTTTCGCCCCTACATTTCAACCTAACCAACCTCTCAACTCTTCTATCCTTCCGCCTCAAGATCACGAATATTCACCTAAACCTGGCAGAAAATGTATTTTCAAACCCATTTCTTCGATTCTACACCAAAAATCGCCATGCAAAAGGGGGGAAAAGGGAAAGGGAGAGAAAGGCTTCGTGGGTGACGGCTTATTCGGGTGGTATAGAGTAGTATTGGGTAAATCGTCCCGCCGGTATGAGGTTCACCTGGAAATAATCTGCCCCCCCCCCCCCTGACAAAAAGTTGTCGACCATATTTATAAATTACCTATGTATGATTTGAATATATTTCTTGAAAAACACTCAGAATAGTTCGTTCTTAGAACATATAATTGTCGATTTCTATGCTTAGAAACTCGTTTACAGCTACTCAATTTTCAAATTTTCCGGGGGGAGACCCCCGTACCCCCGGCAAGAGAGACCCCCCCCCCCCGGACCCCCTACCGCCGGGGCTGCCCCCCCCCCGCGCCAGCAAGCTGGCTACGGGCCTGTCTGGAAGTCATCGTTTTTATTCCGTATTGTGGCGCTCTGTTTTTGGCCACGAAATGATGTAGCGGGTTGGTAGTGTGGGGTATTCTGCTGCAATTGTTGCTCAGGACCCACACCCCGGTAATTTCTCTGCCACCAGTGATCTATAATTGGCCAATTACAAGCTGTTTAAAGTAGAGCCTCTTCAGAGGAGAGGGTGGACTAGCTAAAAAGTAGTTGTGCTATGTTCGACTCTCTCTCTCTCTTCGACCAAACGGAACAAAACTGTATAAAACTATGAAGTTTTATTATGTATTATACCATATATACAGGTAAGTTTTAATGGACTGGGAAAACTCTTTTTTTACTATATAAAGAGGCGAACTGTCCAAGTTCAAGCCGCTCTGTTTCTGTGAAATAGCTTAAAGCTATACTGTGTATTAACTGCAAGCAGTTAAAGACTGTATCTTTTCATTAAACGCAAGTGTTTAAAATCTGTGTCTGTTCATTAGATGCAAGCTTAGATGCAAGCATCTAAAGGTTGTATCTGTTTTTAAACTGCAAGCAGTTTAAAGTCTGTTCATTAGATACTCAAAGAGCATTCCTAAAGAACTATAGAAGTAATAACTAGACCTTCGCTTCGACCCAGGTTACTAGTGCGGGGTAACACGTTCGCCTGGCCGTCCCGACAGGATGGCATCGATTCTGAGAATTCATTCCCACCTCATGCAAAATTATAAATCACACGCACCTTAAGTAAACAAAGTATAAAAGCAACATTATGTAACAGGTGGACATAATGTGATTTATGATTAAGTTGACATACAAAAGTATTATTTAGTTACATTTAATGAGTTATAGGATATGCATATAAATTATAATTGCATGCTATATATTCAAATTCAGCTATTTAAATAAAGGGAGATAATAATACTCAATAATATTAGACAATGTATTAAGGTACATTTCCATCAAAATGGATTATATACTCTTCAAAAAAAGTAGGGGGTATTGAAATGCAAATACCTATGCAGGTTGTGATATGATAAATAGTCATGGACACTTGACATGCTTTGAGAGGGACTATGTTCACAGACGAAGAACTTGTCGCACCAACAGAACCACTGAGCTGCAATAGCGCCATACACGTGGGAGGGGTTCATTGTCAAATTTGACACTTCAAGGAAGGGTTGATGAAAACTGCCGCGTGCTGGTTTATCCTATCCATGTTTGCTTTTCTATCGGTTCTTGTCTAAGATTTACAGTTTAGCGTATCTTTGCTTTAGTGTGTTACGTTTAATTTGATCGGGAGACGTGTTCGTCAACGTCAACCGACAACACTGCAAGAATTGGCCGTGGCACTGCAAGAGGAGTGGGCCAGATGGCCCCAAATCGTGATTGGACGGTTAATTAGGAGCATGCCACGCCGAATTGCTGAATGTCTGAGGATTGGTGGAGTATTTACTCATTATTAAGACAAAAATCAAAAACGTCCATTTTCACTTTTGACAGTGTATCTCTTTGCAATTGAAATGGGGCCGTCAGATAAGCCGCCCATATGAACTGTTTATGTTTAGGCAATTGGCCTGTTATTAAGATACACTGGTATAATAAAAACAGCAGTGCATTTCCGCAATTTTCTATTGTTTCTGAATATCCCCTACTTTTTTTGAAGAGTATATTATGTAACCAAGATCGCGTGACGTAACCACGTAGTACAATTCACACCTACGATTCCTCCGCCAATCATAAAGCACGGGCAGCCAATAGACAACGAGCC